TCTCTCTCTCTCTGTGTGTGTGTGTGTGTGTGTGTGTGTGTGCGTGTGTGGGTGTGTGCGTGTGTGTGTGTGCGTGTCTCTGTCTCTGTGTGATAAAGTAAGAGCTTGGAAGGATATGTTTGACATTCGACGTTTTCTGCAAAAGGGAGAACTTTGAGGGGTACGATGGATATTTGGTCCAATGGAGGGAAAGGTAAGGGTTTGTTTGGGCAAATGCCATCGGGATCTCAGATGTATGGACTGGGAAGAGGTCTGGCTTAAAGCAAATAAGTTAGAGGTGACCGTCTTGGCGGAGGATGTCCGTGCTAGGACTGAACTGTCAGGACCTAGGTCTAGTAGAAGAGGCAGTGGATGCACCTGGACCGAAAATGAGGTCTGGTTAGTCCCATCTAGCTGTGCACCTGGACTGCAGTTAGGTCCGATTCATCCTGTTTCCTTCAGCCCCAGAGTAAGAGACCGATATGAGGTCTCTGCTTTTGGGAGTTCAGTCCCGTTTTCAGTTGGTCTGGTTCGTCCGATCTACTAGGCAGTAGCAAGCAGACTGAATGGAACAGCTAGGCCCCTGTAGGCCTTGATTGAACTGGGGGTACCGTACCGGATGCACCTGGACTGCTGTTAGGTCCAATTCATCCGTTTTAAGCTCAGAACAATAGTCTGAGCTGAAGAAACTACATCTGTTCAGGCAACCGTGTAGAGCTTGATTGAACTGGAGCTACTGGATCCACCTGGACTGCAGTTAGGTCCAATTCATCCGTTTTAGGCTCAGAATAACAAACGGAGCAGAACAAACTCTCCGTTAGCCGCAAAACTGGGAGCAGAGCTGCAGCCACCAGACCTGGAAAGGCTGGTAGGCCTTGGGCAAGACTCAAGTACCAGCTACCGGTCCTTGAGGGTCAGCTGGCAGCAGAGCTACCGGTCCTGGATAGTCGGCCGGGAGCAGAGCTAGCAGACCCGGAGGGTCGCCCGGCAGCAGAGCTGCTGCTTGCGAAGCTGGGCCTGCTGGCGGGGCTTCGCATGGCATTAGAGGGGTTGCGTAGTGGAAAAAGGAGGAGCCAGGGAGGGTACTCAAGCTGGCGGTTTTATGGATGTGCCCTCCTTGGGTATAGTGTATGGTTATAAAGCCCCTATAAGGGAGGGGGAAAGTTTCCCGACTCTTGGAGGCTTAAAAGAACAGAGTCTGCCCGCATTAGGGCATGAAAAACACATAGAAAGGGAATAATTATTACAGTTCAATGTGTAGAAGGGAGAAGAGCGGCTTTTGTTGAGACGGCTTTTTGAAGGAAAGTGTTGGGCACTGGGCCCTTTTTCCCAACAAAAAGCACAATAAATGTCAAGTTGTCAACAACAATAATTCGATCAGATCTTTTCATCGTACGGCTGGTGCTTCATGTTTGCAGCTGGAGCATGCTTGGATGGATAGCTTGGAAATAATA